TAACTGGTCACCAGATGCTAAGATAACTATTCTCATTTCATTAGTTTAATAGAATGTGATATAGATGATCACTAGATTCTAAAATATCTATTCTCATTTCATTAGTTTAATATCAATGTGATATAACTAGTCAACAGATTCGTTCGATATCGCTCTGATGTAACTGGTCACCAGATAGTTACATTTAGGTATACCATAAAATCATGGTCATTGTGATATAACTGGTCGCTGGGTTGTACGATAGCTCTTTAGGCATGCTGCGACTTCAGTATGGATCAGTTATAACTTGTTACCAGATGATTTTATCGTGACTTTTGCTTTATTTCAAAAACGTTTTCATCTGCTATAATTGTTCGTTCTATGAAGCAGAGTAAAACGAAACGTTACGTAGTCGATTTATCAAATTTTGTAAGTGATTTGCAGCAAACTAGAGAATAATTGATTCTGGTCACCTGAAATATATGCAATTCTTAAGTGCTTCTTATACTATATACAATTTAGTATATTTTTATTTCGTTTTATTTTTGATATTTATGAAAAGGCGGAAAAATAAATTTTAAGATATTATTCGTAAGGCGAAATATATCTTATAGACGGCAGGTTCGTGATGAACTAACATAATGAATACGAAAGAGATACGTGATAGATTTGTATATGTGTATCGTATCGAGGTTAGTGTCTTTGTCAAAGTTATAACTTCGGCAACATGTGTTTATGGAAGTTGTAACTTCAACAGACACATTTTCTTTCTTTTCTGTCGAAGTCATTGCTTCGATAAAATACTAACCTCGATACAACATATACATAAGAATTTCGATTCAGCCGTCTTATAAATGAGTTTAGTCCGACTAGTCTCTTATGGCCACCAGAAAATAAACTTGCATGACTAGTGTATATAAAAGGCATAGTGAGAAATTACATCTTTTGATGATACTAGTTAGAATAAAAGGTTGGTATAGTCAGATAAGTGCAGTTCAAATGTGAATTAAATATTCGAAGAAAAAACTTTTAGTCATATCTAACGATAGCAGAGTTAGTGTAAATAGCACTTTGATCGTATTAATATATTTAAAATACCAACTTTGGGTGAAAACTGAAATGATGGTAAAGGTGAGAACGTATGAGTGAGGGTTAGGGTGAAGAAGATTCCTATTTTCATTATCTGTCGTTTTCGATACTTCTGTCTTTTGACATACTTATCATTTTTGGTTTTGTCTTTTTTATTTTTCGACTATTTTACTGTCGACTATTTTATTTTAGACCAAAGTTCAGAGAATCACTTTTTTTAAGATCGTTTTGTAATTTGGGTATTATAAATATTGTTATTGTTTTCTACGGCCTGATGGCAAGCGTAAAGGGAGCAGGTGGACAATCCAAAACTAAATTAGTTGAACAACGAACAAGGTTACCATTGGCTTTGAAACCATCTAGTACTACCAAATCATCAATAACAAATTCGAACAAAACAACATCATCATTATCATCAACCACAACCACCATGACTTCTAATGAAACATCATCATCACCATTAAACACCATAATTTCCAATGAAACATCATCATTACCATCAACGAACACAACTTTTAATGAAGCATCGTCATCATTAACAAAGACTGGAAATCAAATATCAGCATCAAGAACAAATGTTAACCAAGTAGGATTATCAACGACAGTTAAAATGAAAAAATCAAAATCAATTTCAAAATCTCAAATAATTATTGATAATGGTGGTGATAGTGATCAAGAACAAGAATTTGATCTAAATATATCTATTGAGGAATCAGGTGGGCTCGAGAAGTTTGTGCTTAAACCGTGCATTATATTATACAAGAAAAAAATGAAAAAACAAAGTTAGTTTCTTATTTATTTTCATTCATAATATTTAAGTTAATTATCCATAGTCAGATGATTCTGACTCCTTTTGTATAAAAGTATGTAGAATCTGGTTACCAAAACAATTATTTTCATTATTTCCTAAAGTTACTAGAATTTTGTAAATCTATTTTAATAATTTGTTTTGATTTCAACAGTTCTGGTAACCAGAACACCAAAAAAAAGTATTTGATTTTCTTATTTTAGGTGATCTTGAACAATACATAATGGAACATATTTCATCGTACAGTAAGAACATATGTGATTTTCCAGGAGTAAAAGGTAATGATGAAATGAAAAAAGAAATAAATAAACTTTATCGTGACCATCGAAAAACATCAATAAATTCAACCATTGTATTCAAAGCCAATAAAACTAGAACAACACCTACACAACAACTTCTATTAAAAAACAAAAAATTATTTTTATATGTTGATGGAGCGATAAAGGATAAAATGTCAAACAAAAAAAAAAGAAAGTTCTTGTTGGTAAGTGAATGCAATATTTTCTTGATGAAGACTTCTTCTGTGAAATTGGTTATATTTCTGCATTACTTAAAATAAAAATTATTTAATATAGCTTTTCTTTTGATTTGAAATATAGATTCAACAAGTAATCGTGATGATGGTCATCCAAAAGTTTCAGAAATAGACTCAATCAATAATAGTCGAAATGAACAACAGGGAAGATCAACTTGTATGAACAAAAAAGTTGGTACGTTTGCAAAAGATAATAAACTCAGATATAACGCATTAGGTCTATGAGTTTTCATCATCACAATCAAAATATATTTCTCTCTTTTGCCAGATACTGAAAATAAAAATACTAATACAATAAATGATTCACTTAATGAACTTGAAAATGAAGATGTATGTTTATCAAGTAGCGAAGATGAAAGTGAACATCCAGAAGAAAAGAACGAAATCAACGGTATGTCATTGAAACAATCTTCTTTAAATTTTGAACTAGATAAATACTAGCAAATAGTATAGTTTATCATCTCTGGTAACATCGTTTTAAATATTTAATGTCTTACAACTGGTCACTAGAAACAGAAAGTAATTTTTTTTTATTTTTTATTTAGCTTCAAGTGGTGGTATAAAACGTCGTTTGATACATAGGCGAGGAGGAGCGAAGAACTGTAAGTTCGTAATTATTGTAATGACTTCTAAAGACTTGAACACTCTTACACTTTTTTTCTTTACAAATAGGCGGTACTTTTTTGTTACTCACGAAAGAAGAAGAAGTACAAGACTGTGTGCAATCTGCATTGGGTTATGCTCGTGACCATGGAACATTAATGAGTGGTGTTCAGTTAAAAACATTAATGGATGTTCTAAATACTGAAATAACTAAAGATAGAGCTAATACACTTTTGGAAGTTATATCTAAAAATATCGAAATCGTTCCGAATCCTTATTTCATATCACCAATATCAAAACGACCGTAAGCAATAACTTCAAAAAATAATAAATTCTTCTAGCTTATATTATTCTTTTACAATAGTATTTATCAATATTATGGTGCAAGATACGAATTAGAAGAAGTTACTCCCATAAGATATATACCTATTCCAACAGGAATAACGAAACAATATGCAAAAAAACAAGATGAAAAGGTTGGTGTCAAATCGGTTTTTCGACTTTTGGTTACCAGAATTGACTTTATCACGAACAAAAACTTAGTGAGAAAAGAAACCGAAAGATGACTGACAAGTATTTAGAGTTAAGGCGCTCATTATACTGTTGCAATTACCAACATAAATATTGATTATGTACATATTTTTCCTTGACTATTTATTTTAAATACTATCTGTTCTGTTCTTGATAAAACAGGAAAATACAAATTATGACGAAAAAAATGAAATTGAAGAAGTTGAAAAACAAAATAATATTAGTTTAGCGGTATGTTGTCGATATTTTATAAAATAGTGACCAGATCCTTAGATTTAACTTTTAACTTCTTATTTTGTAGAAGCATGATGATCAAGGTAAATGTGATATTAACAAAAATAATCGAAGTCTGATTACATCTACTTCACTTGATAAAGAAAATACTGTTGGTGATAAACAATCATCACCATCTATTAAATCAAAATCAATTGATAAAAACAATAATGGTTCAATTTTTAATGATAATAATAATGCTAATACTGTTACAACAGAAGAAAAAATTTCCGACGCAAATGTTGTAAGTATACGACTTTGTGATTAAAGATATAAGCTTCTGGTAACCAGATATATACTTTTATGTGAATACTTCTAGAATACAGCAATTTCTTATCCAGATACCCATACGATTGATTCTACTACAACACATGATCCAAATATTGAACCATTAAATGATCAAATATCACCTATTCAAAGTGCACCTACAAGTTCACCTTTATCTTTAAATTTCAGTACTAGTACTCCTAAAAAGAAACCAGCTACACAATCAAAAAATAAAAATATTGTTACTGGTGGTAAAATATCAAAAAGGTGAGTTTACTATTCGTTTATATATTAATGCTATTCATTTATTATAATAAACTTTCGTTGTCTGGTTTTTAATTATAGATACAGTAAGCGAAGATCAATTTTTCTACGTTCAAAAACACAAAAAAAGCAAGAAGATCTATCTGGTATCACATCTAAACGTAAACAAGATGATCTACGTAGCTATAAATCAACATCAAATACTTCATCTAAAAAAAAGAAAGTTGCTGATAAAGAAAAAAAGCGGCAAAATCATGAATTATTACCTGAAAACTTATGATAAACTCAAAAAAAGACAGTAATAAAAAACTCAGAAGATCCTTGAACGAGATTGAATTGAAATCTATAACTTAGATTATGTTTTGTTTATTTGTACCTAATCATTCAACAGTTATTTCTCTTGTTTTTTTGCTATATGTTATATGTGTTAGGCTTATCACTGAACTGAAAATGTTTTCCTATATATTACATGTTATTTTTGTTTGAAAATGAAAAGCTATTTTAGATTTCATATTTACTTGGAAATTGAATCAACGATTTTGATAATCAAAAGATAAATTTGCAACGAAAGCGCTGGAAAAAAAATACACAAAATTTGTTTGCTTCAATATAGTAAGTAATAAAAGTGTCTGTGGAATATTCAAACAGATACAGTGAGCTATTGTTCTAAGTATTGTTCTTCTCATGAAGATAGTCAATCATAAAATTCATAAGAATTTTGGACTGCATCAAAATAACTGAACTTGTTTTTTTATTTTGCTTGTGTTGGATTTTAATTAAAAATTGGTCAGCTGATTTCTGTTATTAGTACTCCTCTATAATGAACTCAAACTTTCATTTTATTTTTATATTTTTTTCTTTAATAGATTACCTTTATCCTTTGTTTTTTTTGATGTATACCAACAATAATATTATACCACCTGTCACTTCATCTGCTTTGCATCCATCAGACACGTCGTATGCATCATCAAATCAACATCTTTCTAATTCACACAACCAAAGAATGCCATTATTTCATACACCAGCATCATCATCATCATCACAAACTTATCACTCTACACCAACATTTCAACAACATATTCAATATCCACACCAATATCAAAATCAACCACATACATTGTCACCAGATGAGTGGGATCTTATTTTATCATTTAGAATGATGAGAAATTTAAACCTTTTATCATCATTACAACCATCATCTCCTTCAGTATATCATCAAACAAGTGATACGTTTTCATATCAAGCTAGTTATCCATCTTATCAAACTGGTCACCAGATGCAGTCGTCTGCTTATTGTACAACAATACCAACATTATTACCAAATCAATATTATAATACAGCATCATCTATTTATCCACATAATATATCAACAACAAGTTCATCATTACCACAGTTTGCAACGAATAATTCTTCGTCATCTTTTTGTACAACATCTGATTCATCACCAGTGCTACATCATACAAGAACAAGTCAATCAACAATATCTTTTACAACACACACCTCGTCATCACCATGTTATACAACAGCTAATTTATTACAAACACATCATACAGCAACTACTTCATCATTAGCATCCTTATGTATACGACAAGAACTTGAAGCAAAATTTGAATCTCTACAAACACAATCTAATCATCAAAATCATTTATCGACACATACATCAGCAAATCACCAGAACTCTTCAACAACCCAAAGAGATGATGCACATTCGACAATACAACTATCATCTTCACATTCACTCACACATTCAACAAGACAACAATCACCACAGCAATCACTACAACAACCATCGTCACAACAATCACCATTACAACAATCACCATCACAACAATCACCATCACAACATTTACCATCACAATTAACAATTGAGCATTTACATTTACATTCACCAACTTCGACTACTACAACATCACTAGTTCTTATTTCATCTATGCAACAACAACATAAATTATTAAACCAGGCGTCCGACATTCAATCAACAACAACTTATCAATATGACCCATTATTAAAAGGGCAATCTATCCAGTTGCTTGATACAACTAAACCCTATGAAATTGGTGATACGATAAAAGTTGGTGGTCGAATTCTTCAATCAGACCCAACATCAATAAAATATTGGTCAGATAATGATTTAACCATTACTGAAACAGCAACCGGTGGTTATATCCTAAATATGCTAGGGTACTCCTATTTAGTGAAGAATTATGGGAAGAATTTTGTTAGTTGGGAGTGCGAGCAGCGAAGAAATCGACAGTGTTCAAAAATCATGATTCGATCATCTGATCCTAAACTTGTATATAATTTCAAAATATACTCGATTCAAGGTTATCATATCCATGAACCAACTCCAAACAATATTATAGTTCGAAAATTCAAACAATGCATTAGAAACAGATGTTTAAATGAACTTTCAAATCCTCGAACAATATATGATAATGAATTATTTAAAGGCAAATATATAGCCGAAATGTTGAGGATTTTGCCGAGCTTTTACAATATGCGTGAGTAAAAGTAAATTTTTTAAATAAATTATATTTTCGCGGGAAATAGTGTAAAGTATTAATCTGGTAACCAGTTCCTGCATTTTTGATATTTTTAAGATTAACATGTTAGAAAGTAAAGTTTAACTTATTTTATCTCTGGCGTATATTCATAATTATTATAAATCAAATAATCAAATCATAATCTTCCTTAATCTCTTTTAGAATCGCAACTTTATCGTATACGACAAGCAAACTTACCAAAATCACCATCAGATCTTAATTTTGTGCTACATCCTGGATTCAAATCAACAGATAAGGGTGAACGTTTTTTAATCTACGATTCAAGTGATGTTCAACCACCATATACATTAGCACCAACAGTGGTTGGCAGACTAATCATCTATGCAAGTAACTTGCAGTTAAGTATTTTAGCGAAAGCACATCGGGTGGGTAGCGATGGCACCTTCGAAACATCAGCAAGTATGGTTCAACAAAATTATATTGTTATGGCTGAATTAGAAGAAATGTACTCAGGTAAAAAGAGATTGCAATTTGGTCACCAGAAAAACAAACTTTTTAATTTCTTACTAATATCTTTTTTTTTGTTTATAGTGCCAACAGTCTTTTGTTTATGCGAAAAGAAAAATTACGAAACATACCAGTTAATATTACAAGTGCTAAAAATATCCATTACCAATTTACAGTTAAATTTTACACCTGGGTATTGGATTAGTGATTACGAAGACGCTTTAGTAAGAGCGATTAAAAAAGAAGTACGTGTATAGTCTTTATTAAAGAATTCTTTTTTTCGCGCATTTTTTAATAAGTCTTCTTAAATAATCGTATATAGAATACACTTTAACTTCTTTAAATATCATACTGGGCACCAGATATTTCTTAAAAGTGATCTAAGGTTATAAACATAC